TCTCTTATACATGAGTTGCTGTGGATTTGTTTCTCCAAAGTACCTAGACTAATACATGTGGTGTGACACATTTACAGTAACTCTTATCCTGTAACAATATGCTGTTGTTGTTGTGTGCCAGTGAGTCCGTTCTGACTCATCGCGACCCTCTGCAAGACAGACAAAACACTGCCTGGCTCTGTGCCATCCTCACAATTGCTCTTATGTTTGATCCCATCCACGCAGCCACGGTGTCAACCCGTCTTGTCCTCCGCTTTTTGCTGTCCCTCCACTTTACCAAGCCTGGTGTCCTTCTCCAGGGACTCATTCTCACTAAACTCACTGCTGTCGGGTCCACTCTGACTCGTGGCAACGCCACAAGGCAGGTTTCCGAGCACCCTGGGGTCTCAGAGACTGTTACTCTAGATGGGAGTAGAAAGCTTCTCCGTTGTCTGCCTGTAGAGACTGGCATCTCCTGACTGCATGTCTGAAAAACGTGAGATGAAGTTTTGCCCTCCTTACCTCTTGACTGCACTTCTGCCAAGACAGACCTGTTTGTTTTTTGAGCGATCCACGGGACTTTCCATAGTCTTCACCAGCAACAAAATTCACACAGATGAAATAAACAATTCTGCCTATTTCTCCAAAAATCAAACCAAATGATAAAGTGTATCAAGAAGGACATTATTCATGTGGGATATCCCAAAGCAATCGGCCCCAAGTTTCTTCTGAAGAGTTTTGTAGTGAGGTCAACGTGATGCAAAGACTCCTCGATTTGGCTTCAAGCTCTCTTTTACCTCCTGTAGTCACATGGGTATAAAGCCCTGCCACAGGGCGGATTCCAGCTCACCGCGCTCCTACGGGACAGCGGAGGACTGCCCTTTGGGTTTCCAGGACTTGAAATCCTTATGGGAACAGAAAGACTCCTCTGTCTTCCTCGGAACAATTGGGGGGGGTTGAACCACTGAACTTTGGGTCACTGGGGATTTTTTGTAAAAGGAGAGGCAAATCTTAAAGCCTTTCCAACACTGGGCCTCAATTTCCACATCTATAAAATGGATATTTATAAAATTGGTATTTACTAATAACTTGCTGTTCTTCTTACTCTACAGACTCTCCTGGAGTAATTTCAACCTCTCTTAGCATTTCAAATATGACCTCAAGATGGAATAGTCCTAAAACCACATTTAAAACCCAGATTACTCTTCCTGCATGAACCCTGAATATCACCAATCCATTTTTTTACGCAAGCAGCTCAAATCAATACATTCAAAAATGAACTCATTTTCCACACCACCGTCAAAAAAGCTGTTTCTTTGCCTGTATTCTTGGTAGGTGACCAAAGCTAAAATCTGAGCGGTGTCTTAGGCCACCCTTCACTCTACAGTCCCTATCCAATCTATTGCAAAAATGCTCCACCCACATTTTTAATACCAGGCAAGCACTGTCTTTAAAATAGCATCATGCCACTTTTTAACATGTTTTTACCATGTTGTTGGTTAGCATGACACATTTACAGAAATCTCTCCTGGGGGTTGGGAGCAGATGGCAAACAAACACAGAAGGCATGTGTTATTGGTGTAAAAATAAGCTAATCTTATTTCCTCCTTATATCTCCCAGGCCACTTGTCTCTGTCTCATGTCTGGTTGGTCCTCGTCCTTTTTTGACCTGGAGGATTGCGGCCGCATCCTGTGTCCTCTCTTCCAATCTGTCCTCCTCTAATCTATGCTACGGTACAGAGAAACCCCATGAACCTTCTAAAACTCAAATCTGTAAAATAAGCCCCTGTGACTCACCGGCTAGCAATGCTTTCCAATTATCTATTTCACCGCCATCGAGTAAATGCTGTGAGTTTCCAACACTGTAACTGTTTACAGAAGTAGAAAACCCAGTCCTTCTCCCTCAGAGCTGCTGGTAGTTTTGAACTGCTGACCATGCAGACCGCAGCACACCACGGAACCATTACACCAAAAATGTGCTCATCTACCTGCTTTTCCAGTCTTTTCACTCATCACACCTAGTCTACCCCTCTGGTAAACTGTCTGCGTGTAGTTCCCTCTAAACACTTGGCTCATCTGTTCCCTGGCCTGGAATGTCCATCACTGATTCTTCCTCTTTGGCTAGCTCTTACTCATCATTCAAAATCAAATTCAGGTAACATCTCATTCCCTTTGGCTGTACGTTCTATGAGATAGCCATTGGAAGTACAACTCATAAGCCTTCAGAACTCAACTTGATCAAAGTTCCACTTTTAAGGGCCACCTGCCAACGTAACATCCCAACACCCCATTGCTATAGCAGTAGTACACGCAACAGTTGCCATCAAGCTGACTACACTCAAGGACTCCCGTGTGTGTCAGAGCAGAATGGCCTCGTGGCAACCCTGTCGGACAAAGGAGAAAGCAGTTCATGGCTATAATCTTTTGAAATTAGATCACCAGTCTTTTCTTTCGGGATGCCTCAGGATAGATTCAAATTGCCAGCTTTTGGAATGGTAGCCAAGCTCTTAATTAAAGAACTCCACAGTAATTCCACATCACATATATTATGCCCCATCTACATCATATGAATGTGCAGACCATCATCT